TCGGGGCTATTAATTAGGGAGCTTGAGGAATTGTATGCATATATCAATGCCATATGCTGTGTGCCATGTATACTCCGGACTTTGCTGTCGTGATTGATGCAAAGCGCTAGAGAAACTATACCAGAAGCAGCGAACAATGAAATGGCGAGGCATCTTTGATGGGTTTCTAGTTCGGCGTCGGCCATATACGATTCAGGGAGTAGTTTAAGCCCAGCATATCTTTTGACTCGCGATAGTGTACAATTTGATCGACAGAGCACAGGTCAATGCACGAATTAATTTTTTATGTCCACAGTGCTTTGCATCGGTTTGCGTAGGAAGATTTCATCTTAGCAGTATAGTCGAGATGGATATCCTGGTGTGTTAGCGCCCAACATTGAAGGTTCAAAGCGCCTTCAAAGACAGATGATCTACATGAGCGCTTGTCGTTGGGTACCATGCCGCGGCAAGTAATGAATAGCCGGCGGGATGTAGGCGCTTGTATACATTAGAATCTATGACGATTTCACCTGTTTGGATTTTCACTCTGACAAGAACGTATCTGGGTCCTCATAGGAAGATAAACTCAACATCTGTAAGTTCATTTTTACTGTGAACCATATCCTGGACATTTTCTGTTCAAATATTACTCAATTTACCGCATTCCGGCCAAAGCTCGTGCTCGGAACACTTCCCTCAAAAAGCCCTATTCTTCGGCCGACGAAGTGAGTAATCTACAACGCCTGAGATTAGCAATCCGAAGAGTGAACAAATTTTTACCTCTCGCTTCAGTCGTCCGACTTATTCCGTACGCTAGTGCTGAGATCAATTTCTTTTGGAAGCCTCGTGCTGTGTAGCTCTTCCTGTTCTATCCACATGAAATGGTGGGCAGAGGGGATTCTCAGTGGCCAATAACGTACTCCTCATAGGCGTGTCTAGGCTGTACCTGTGCCCCACTTAGCCATATACATTATCGAGCGTTGAACACATAAATTCGTCCCGGAATGAATGACTCATGGTCCATCCATGAGGAATATCGTTTACGTCTTGCTTGAGGTCCGGTCGCTTGCTCACCAGCGGTTTTGACAGCAATTGCGGGGAAATAACGTATCCTCGGAAGGTTGTCACGAGTGACGGCAACGTTGGGCAATGGGCGCGCCGATGTATAGAAGTCGGGATGGCCGCGGGACTCAATCATTTTCCCATACACGCGTCCTAAGAGGAGTATCATTGCGTAAAAATATTCGACAGTTTTACTATTGACAGTCATAGATAATTTTCACGTCTCAAACGCGTTCAAAACATAGGTCCTACGTAGTAGAGTTAGTCTTCTCAAGCTTCTATGGTTCGTTGTCTGCATTAACCACGGCTGACACGTGGAAACGAGTATCCCCGTGTCAAGTCGGAAGGCAGTACTTACCGCCGTTCTGGAACGCGTTACCGACTACTCCGCCCGACAACATTGAACATATCATTGATATCTTTAATCTGGTTCAAGGAACGGGGATAATGCCTGCAGGCACTACGGATCTCCACATCATGTCGGGTAGAGCGAGTGATATACATGGGCAGAGGGCATTGTTAGTCGTAAAGCTGTTTGAGGACCATTGCCATATGTTATGGGATACCAAGAAATGAAATTTCCGTGTGCTGCAAGCCTAATGTCGCGAGTGTATATCTCAATCCCTGGCCTAATTTTCTCAAGTAACCCAGTTATTCCGTTATCATAGGATGTTATCATCATCTGATCCGGAGTCCATAGGAACAAGATAATCACTTTACTCTACATATCTGAGACTTGCTCTATGCTTGGATGGTGGTTTGAACTTTGGACTATAACAGCCTATATTCAGAGACACCTTCTCATGCTTAATGGTGGAACGCCAGGCTCTGCACTCAATCCCTCTGCACCCACTTGACCCTTCATTCTTGTGGCGGAACCACCGCAGCGGATAATACACTTCTTACTTCCGGCTCGATATCTATTGCGCCTGACACGGATCTATCATTACCACGAACGTTGTCCGAGAAGCTTTGCATTCAATTGCGTCCCTACATATGTAGTGCGTCATCAGCTGATGTACAGATGAGATTCAAGATACTTCATAAGGAAGGTATGGTCCGACACGCTGGTCCCATGATTCTGCCAGCGAACCTTATCATCAACTCGAGGCGATTCGAACCTCGGATTTGGAAAGATGAGAACGACACACCGGAGACTCGCCCCGATCCCTCAAAACGGGAAACGGAAGCAAAAAAATCCAGAGTCGGTATCCCCGTTCATCGAGTACTCCTGGTGTACCTATCTATTGCGGGACAAACTGTAGCTCCGTTGAACGCTCCAAAAACCCGAGGCAATACCCGTGGATGCAAGGCGGAAACGACGGAATTGTTAGGCGTTATCGGTACACTTCAGACGCTATTTCCGCAGTGGCTATGGTGGGAAATACAAGTGTGAGTTTTGAAGGTCAAGACTTCAACTTTTTTTGCATGCTAGCTGTCACAAACTGACTAGGTAAAGGAAGTTGGCGGTGAAAGCCAGTTACCAGGAATAGCCCCTATAATGCTTCTCCGACTGGACTGTACAAACGAGTGTCCGGATTAGGATATTGAAAGAATATGTGAGTCATGTTCCTTCCAAATGATCGTCGTCCACAATATTGATGTAGGTTGGAATCGCAACCGTCGATCTTCACTGTCATCCATTAGTAGATATCGAGCTTGTGACCACAAGACGTGTAGGGCGCGTTATAATCTTCACTGAGCATAACCCTTCATTACGGGGTCGATGTCGGGAACGACATTCGGATCTTGAGCATCACATTCCTGGACATACTGCCGCTGATTTATCCACCAGCGTAAACACTAGTGACCATCATTCCATTTTACCTGCCACCATGTACCGACATTACTGAAGTCCTTCTGTACAAAACAGGGTAGTTATTGAATCTACTCTAGAAAAGAGGTGTGTAGGGATTGAATACATTGACGGTGTTCGGAAGGGAGGCGTTTCGGCCTTATGTGAAAGCAATGAGAGAGAAAGCGAGAATTCTATATCCATGATCACTACTTGCGTTGTTAGTACTACCCGTATATCGTATAGTTTATCTGACTGCCGTGATGATGAAGGGGGATGCGATACCTCACAATAATACAGTAGTTTGAATTGTTGAGGGAGTGAACCTTGAACTATACTCGTAACAAATCAGTTGATTCAGATTACTCCACATGAAGTTCAGTCATTGATCATTGTTGGGAGTATACGATTTTGGGATCCACTTCATGGTGGATATATTTTGGACCTTTTAGGATTCGATGGGGCGGAGACACGACTTCTCTACAAGTAAAACGTCCCCGTAAACGTGATATTGAAAAAGATGAATGGTCCTACGCTCCAAGGTGAGATACAAACCCGTAACTATCAACGAGTATTGCAACCAGGTTTGGAGCAGAAACATAAGCCATCGTCAATCAACATCAACATGAATCCACAACTTCCGACCGACTCCCGACTAAATACTAATATGACTCTGTTTCTAATCCCAAGAATCTGCTCAGCTGAATGTCAATTAGCGCTATATGACGAGTGGAGGCATCTATCTATGCCAGCTGCAGATAACAAGACAAAACGCGAGTGAGTGGCCTCAGGCTGGTGTAATACCGTAACGGAATCTAGAATCCCTCAATTGGAGTCCGGGTACCATCGTGTTCGAAGCGCACTCAAGTCTGTCCAGAGACCATGTCCAAGGTCTTTCCATAAGCGACTTCATAAATAATTGAGTAAACGTCCAGAGTCGTTAGATGTACTGGGAAAGCACACGGGCTATCGTGCCGCGTAGTGTGGATCCTCTCATTTCCATTCAAGTTTGGTCCTAGACGTATTACGTTAGCATCAGTAAAGTTACGTCAAATGGCATTTCGGCAATAGAGCGGCATGCCCACGGCATTTTGGGCCGAAATGCCAAATGCTAAATGCTAGACCCCCTTTTACGGAATGCCGGTGCCCTAGCCCGTCATAGCCCTGACGGCAAAAATGCCGATATGTCAATATGTTAAATGGTCGGTCCCTCTAACTACTAATTTCTGGTACTTTCACTGCGGAAATGTGAGCAATTATGCATGACATTGAAATATAGATATTATAGCTATGATCTTTTGTATTGTAGAGACTTCCTCACCCTGTAATCCAGTGTATCGAGAGTATGTAACGTCACGTAAATGCGTGCTCCGGTCCTCACTGCCCCGGCAACAGAGATGTTCGCCACAACGACAACATATCTAAGGTCAACATGCACCTGTACAAATGCAAGACTCTGTCTGGTTTGGACTAGCATCTTGTGCATTTGGCACTCAGCATTTCAGAATGCCGGAAATGCCAAAAATGTCTTTAAATGTCGAAATGCTCGTTGCGACCTTACTGATGCGCCCACTACTGTCTCTTTCTCTCTGTCAGTAGACCTGCTAAGCAATGAAATTTAAGTTAACACCGTATTTCTGTAGTGGAACTTTGAAGGGGAAGACTATCTTTCAGAATTTCCCCCAGACTTTACATGCCTGCTCCGGACATCCCGCCGTCCCACGGCGGTTGTGTCCTTCCACAAGTAAAGAGATCAGAAAAGTAAAGTATTGATATAATGTTCCTTTCGAATCTCGATCTCTTGTTCTGTGAATTCCACGCTGATTTAACAACCCACTGAACCTTGAAGATCTATCTACACATTCACCCCATAATTGAAGGTATAGGTACTACATATGTCAAGATCTATGAGAAGTACCCCACAATATCGACTCTGGAAGCATCAGTCACTTGACCTATACAAGGACACGAGGCCGCGAGAACCGAAACGGGTTTTCTGAGATCATTGGATTGACTTCTCACGCAGCCATGTGCTAGCGCCGCCACAGGAATGAAGGGTGAGCTATATTCGCCGGAGGTGCCGCAGATTGGAACTGTTTGATGACTGAGCTCGCAAGAATGGACATTGATGAACAAGTCACACTCTGATTTGTCAAGTTTAACAGCCCGCGTTGTCTAATGGTTATGACGTCAGACTTCTACCAAGCCGTGCTGATCTGGAGGTTGCGGGTTCGAGTCCCGCCGTGGGTTAATAACGTTTTTCCATCCGAGCGGCTGGTTGTTATGTGTGATCCATTTGGATCTCCACCGCTTTAAGTTTCAGCCGACCCAACATCGCGGAGTCTCTTTTGTTGTTCAATATTTTCAAATAAACTTGGCTTGAGCTTCCAATGATATAGCTATTACAATGATCTATCAAAATGCAACGTTTAAAGTCTATCGTGGGGTAAATAGCGCACAGCCTACAGGATGCGAAATGCCGAAACTTTGCATGGCCCCCAAAAAGTGATCCCCACCCGGATTGAACGGATGACCTTCGGGAAGCTCCGTTTGGAAGAGCTGGAATCCGACGCTCTACCGCTGAGCTAGGGGATCTTGCCCAGATCAATGTAACACCCATTGAGGTCCCGTTGTACAGGGGCTATGAAATCGGTATTATAACTTGTTGAGTGGGCGCAAGGGCTTTTAAACTTTCCGTTTTTCCTCCCGGATGAAGTTCCAACCTGATGTCTACGCTAGAGTTATATGTCGGAAAGGGTAAGGATATGGCATATATGAGCATGGATGCGAATGACGTCATCGTGCTCGAGAAGTGTGCTGAGGAAGGATCGTTCAGAATGGGAGTATCTATACTGGAAGACACAGATATGGCCTGGTAGAACTGCATGCTATGCATGGTCCCGTACACCAGTGACAAGCCTGGATTTTCAAATTGGGTGCTCCATGGAACAGTAAAACCCTAGATGAGCGATGTCGGTGGTCTCAGTTGAGACGACAGTGAAAGGGAGAGTAGTCTCCAGAACATATGTTCGCTAGGCAATCTTTAGTGGCATTCATAGAGGGCAAGGCACCGTAAAGGTTGGTACATGATACCTTGCTGGAGATAATGAACATATCACTTGTATTGCACTTGTAGCCCCATCGTCGACGAAAATGGACGGCTGCTAAGCTCAACAAGGTGTAAGCTTAGATACCCGAGCTTACTGACCAGGTAATATTGTCAAGATGGGTCTCGAATAAGCTCGGAAGAAGACACCGCCCTAAGCGACAGATATTATGAGATTTTTAGAGCTCCTTGACTAGAAACTCCAGCTGACAGTGCTAAACCACTTTTTTATTTGCAGTAGATCAGCCTTATGTGTGGAGCGACGACGCATATGAACATACGACGTACCGACAGGGCTATAGGTTATGTCTCGCGTATCTAAGGTCTCAACTCACAACCTGCTTCTGGGTTATTCATACAGTTTGGTTCGTCGAGGTTTAATATCGTAGATGTTTTATCCTTAGTCTATACAGGCAGAGACGAATATCACGTTGTAAACATTGTAAACAGGTAAAACCAGGAACGTTTCCGAAGCTTTGATTTGTTTGCTATCATCGAGAAGGGTCTTAGAAACGGTTTCAGGAGCAGATATCTGAAACATGCCTTTATCGCAGCCAGACCCGTCTCAATTTTGTACCTCGAGGGGAATAAGCCAGTTGAAGTTGTCAGTGGTTGGCGTAGAGGGAAAACGAGCCAAGTGGCAGGTTATATTACATTTGAAACCACTTCCGAAAGTCTTCTTTCATTGGCCTCGTCTTCAGAACTTCGAATCAAATTTGTGATTGGGATTGAGGAGTGCATTTGAAAAGCTTACACTTGCTAATCAACATATGTGTTTAAGAAACGATCCAGCTCTGCGTTAGACTCTCCTCTTGTGCCCCAAAGCTCACCTAATTCTCTGCTAATCTGCTGGATGTTTTTTCTCGCTTCTTTTCCTTCTGCCCCTTTCAGCTTCGTGAGCAAGCCTTGCAACTCCTCTCGTAGGGCCTCCTCGGTTCCAATGGGCGCGCGGCCTAGACGATAGAGCTCTTTCACTCCTTTCTGACCAGTCCGGACTTCAAGCAGCTCAAGTGCTACCTTATGTACATCAACCATCAGAGCAGCATTGAGGGGCTGGTCTGCGGAGAACGGCCATACAATCCTATTCCAAAAAGCGTTAGCCTGTCGAATACGCTTTCCTCAAAAGATACACAAACATGGGCACTTGATAACGGAACGCTTCTTGTATACTATTCCATCCTGCGTGCGTGACGAACCACCCAGTAGCTGGGTGGTTTAGAACGTGATCTTGAGGCGCCCAGTTGACAATCATCCCAATACCGCTTTGCTTTTGCTTCCTGGTGAACCGCATCAGGAATCGTCGCGAAAGGAGAAGCGTGCGCCAAAAGGAACGGAGTCTGGCTTTTCATGAGTTCTTCTAGAACGACAAAGAGTTTCGCTGGGTCCTTTGGCCACCAGATCGACCCAAAGGCAATCTACATCCCGTTTCATAGTAAGGATCCGATACTCAACTAGAAATCAAACGGATACGCACATAAATGACAGACTGTTTCCCAAACCGCTTGTACATTTCATCAAGAAACTTGATCGCGTTGTCGTCACTCGACATGTCATGAACAACCTTTACAGGTACCGTCTCTGCTACGAATCCAATTGAGACAAAGTCTTTCCCAATGCTCTGCATATAACTCGTCATCGCCCTTGTCGCTTCGGCCTCAAGTATCGAAGTCGTAACGGAGAGTGTTCCCTCAGTTCCATGAATATATTTCCGTCCTGTTCGTAGAAGCAGAGCACTAAAACCTAAATCCTGGTCTTGAGGAAACCACTCGTAATCGTACATCGGCGGATAACCGGGTATGCGAATGACTTCGGATTTACATGCCGTGTAAAGCTACGGACGCGTCGATCAAATTCCTAAACTTGGTAGATGAGTACTTCGCGTACCTTTTCGCCTATTTCGAGGGCATCACCCCCAGTTCTAGCGACCTCTCTTTCGACTTCAGCCCATAGGTCGCCTCTGCAACCCAAGGACTCGGGTCCGAATTCGCGAATAGTTGAACCAACTGGACCAGACATCCATACGAATATGGGAACGTCTACAGGAGAGGCAATAGCACGGATAGCATCCACGGCGTATCCAGCGAAAGGCTATGCACATAGTCGTTAGAATTCGTTAGAACCTCGACCATTGGAAGATTATAATACTTACATCAATGATCGCAAACGTCGGCCGTGGAAGATTCTCAAATGATGTTCCAGTGGAAAGGCACTTGACCATTCCGTTCTTGTAGAGCTCTTCGAAAGCAGGCACGAACTCTAGGGTTGGCTTTCGTGGGTCAACATTGGGACCAGAAATATCAATGATTCTATTCGTATCATTAGGTGAACTTTTCTTCTCATCAAGGAACATGTTCACCTGATCCGGTTGCCCAAGTTCAAAGAAATGTCTGCGAGCTGCTTGATGATCTTGGGATACATCGCTCCGGCGAGGAATGTAATCGTAGCTTCAGGTCTGCGCTGACAGATGAGAACAATGAACGATATCAGCGGTTTGGTATGACCTGAAAGTCGTTAGCCGCGAGAAAGAGAAGAAGAAGGTCAACTTACTCCATGCAGGCAGAGTGTGAACAACAATATGTCTTCTTCCAGGCGACATTGATTCGGGAGCTTTTGCGATTCAGTTCGAATTTATACTTCAGAGAACTTGGAATGACGGTACATGTCACGAGTAGGAAACAGTTCTTGGTAGTGCGTAATGACCAAATACACGCGCATCCGAGTCGCTTCTATCACGCCGAGTTGCGCGGCCAGCCGGCTCTCCGCATTGAAATAACCGATTCTATTTGCTCGTGTAATTAGTTATGAATGACACATTGATTAGGAATCGTTCCTGACCACGGGCAAAGCGCATAGATAGTTAGGATTGGACGAAAGTTTTATGTCAACCGTTTCCATTCAGCAGATGTACCTAGGAATGGATGACATGTCAATGGCGAGGGTAGGTAATATCTCTTCGTCCGCCTTATCCAGCTTTATGGGTGACTATATGGGACTGCATTAGGCTGCCAAACACCCATACATCTATCAAAAATGTCCGCATACGGGGAAAGCCGTGAAAGGAGTACCATCACGACTGATGTCATGTGGGCAAGTTTTGGGGGTCAAAGCGGAGTCAGACAATGTTTCCGAGTTACTTGAGCAGGAGGAGGCGACCTGAAGATATCAAAGATATGAGGAATTGAAGATGGGATTATGAACAAGAGCGGAACCTGAGTGGGACACTTCTATTACGCAACGCTACCGTCTTCCAACACGTGTTGCCCAAGGTTAGCTTTCATGTCCTGCAGAATAGGCAAGTCATAACGCGAACTACCCACTCCAAGAAGCGAAGCGGCTAGGATGCTATTGCTCGCCGAGCGGATGATGACGAAACAGCGAAGGAGCATGAGTGTTATTGGCAATAGAATATTCTGGTGCGGAGGTAATGATAACACTAGAGGTGACGTGTCTGTCGAGCTTGGTTAGCCGTGGCGACAGTGGCTTTCGTTCTCGCATTCGTCGAATTGCATAATTCAACACCCTATACACCTACAGAGCCCAAATTGAGTATGTCCCTCGGGGAAGCGCCCGTGTCCATTAATACACCACCCACGTCCCGCCAAAAGGTTTGGGTGGACCTGCCTAATCGCCACCTCACCGCGGAAGGTGGTTACGTAATGAACCTCGGGAAGGGGTGCGGTGCAAATGTGACAAGGGCATGCAAAGTCGATGGGCGTCTGGCGGTTGTCTCGCAATAAGGGCAGGAAATGATCCTTGCTGGGGCATTGAGATAACCAAGAAGTATTTCGCCGCGGAGAATTGACATTGGGAAAGCGACAGCGGTGTACGGATAGAAATGACAATGTGGATATCGATGGCTAGCTCGATTAGGATCTGGGCGGGGTATGATGTTTGGGAGGGTTGTACGCAAAAGTGCAGATGAGGGAGGAGCTGGCATGTGGCTGCAATAGAGTATCCATGAGCTTTGGACATAATACACCATCGCCCCTGATAACGACGCTCCGCCATCGTCCCCCTCGACTGCCCACACCATCCAAACCAATAGCTCCCAACCATGCCCCCCCGCTTGCAAACATGTCATCCTGGTTGATGGTGCGCCGCCTTCCCATGAGCGATGAAGGCACTCAAACCAGGCGCTACAAGTGACACCACACGTCTGAAGACCGTTACGTAACGGAGGTCGAGGAAGAGAGCAAGAACGGTGGGTGCGGAGGTGAAGGATACGAAGTCGAAAGAGAAGTTGACCTAAAAGGGAGACATGCAGCAGCGCTCGCAGGTGGACGATACATGGATATAGTGTAAATAGCTGCTGATGCAGGTCAAGCGTTTGAACGGCATTCTGTTGGTAGGAAGCGAAGAAAGGAAGGGAGGATGGTTCGGTTTCGATAGGTCTGGTCCTAGATCCTTCGGTAGGCATGACCGGAGTGGGAAGTCGAGCAGAACTACGGGATGTCCCACTAAGTTACCGACTATTGTCGTTATTGTCGTT